TGGGCGGATGGGGGGGGGGGGTAGTTGATTATTTCTTTGGACGGTGAAAAAAAGGGGGGGGGATCCTTATGTTATTTGTTTCTTTCTTTCTGTGCTTTTTTCTTAATTTTCTTTTTTTCTTTTGTTCTTTGTTGTTTTGTTTGTTTGGCTGGTTATTTTTCTAAAACTGTTTTTTTTTTGTTGGTGTAAATAGGTAGAGGGTGGGGAGTAAAATCCCACGTTGAAGCAAAGTGTCTGTGCTGATATGTCAGCTAAGTGAAGCTTTCAATTTATGGTTTCATTTCGGGCGCTACAAATCCCGATCTGTGCATTCGTGCGAATTGGGCTATCAGAGTGTGGCAAGAAGGCGAAATGGGGTCGAACTTTCCGCAGACTCGTGCCCTATCCAACCAAAAAAGCGATGCATCTTGTGTGCTTCAAATTTTAGAGCCCCAGGTTTACCCTGGATCTGTTAACTTGTGGCTGTTCGTATCTGCCCATTTTAACGAAAAATCATCGCTCCCCCCCCCCCCAAACTTTTTTTATATTTTGTTTTTTTTTTCTGTTTTGTTTTGTTGTGTTTGTTTTGTGTTTTTTAGGGGGGGGGGCAGCGGGGGAACTGAAAGCGGTGACTTTCTCTCTCATGGTTAAATACTCTATGTGGGTGGTTGGCGGCGGCGGGTGCTCTGATGTGATTTGCTCCTTCTTTCCTATCATACATCTAGTTCCTATCTCTCCTTCTTTTTATCATTTGTATGTTATGTTACTCTCTTATAACACCTCAAATCTTTGACACTTATGCGGCCTATTTGTATTGCAAGTGCCTTAAACTCTTACTGCAACTAAACTAAATACGGTGTAGACTTTCTGTGTCGATACAGGACAAAAGTGTCCAGTTCTAGTCGAAGTGATTAGTGACCTAAATGTATATAATAAATATATATATAATAATAATGATGATGATGACAATGATAACAACAGCAACAACAACTACAACAACAACAATAAAAATGATAATACATCTACTACTACTACTACTACTACTACTACTACTACTACTACTACTACTACTACTACTACTACTACTACTACTACTACTACTACTACTACTACTACTAATTATAATAATAATAATAATAATAATAATAATAATAATAATAATAATAATAATAAACGAATGCATTTACATAGCGCTCTGTCCCGTACAAGTGCAAGCTTTTAGCGCTTATGAAAAAAAGATTCTCCTCGTTGTTTCTCCACAGGTGCCAGTCCAACCGTCAGAATGGCACAGATGTTCGCTGATGCCCCAGGCGTGGAGTTCATTCATGGAGAGGCTTTTCTTCTCACTTCTTGAGGTATGTACATAATATACATTTATTATGGGGGCTCTCGTGGCAAAGAGGTTAAGGTGTTTTCCTCTCATTCAAAGGTCCCGGGTTCGAATCCGAGAAGCGAAGGGAAACATTTTCTTCTATAAAGTTGTTTCCTTTCACCTCCTTTCCGTGGGTGATTCACGGGTGCTCTTGTGTGGTTTGCTTCTTCTTTCCTATCAAACATATATCGTCCTTATCTCTCCTCCTTCTTTTTGTGTTTGTTACTCTCTTGTAACACCTCTAATCTTCAACACTTATATGACCTTATTGTGTTGCAAGTGCCGTAAAAGTCTAACCTCCTTTCCTACTCTCTATAAGTGTTCTGTCGTCTGCTGTCGTCTCCACTTTCTGCCCCCACCCCCTCACATCCTTTGCCCTCTCCTCTGGGCTCCTAGCTCTTTCTGCAGCCTTTCTACTTCTACTCCTTGACTCCTTCGTACTGCTTTCTTTCAGCCACATCCCTGATCTTCTGATGGAAAAGATCTACACTTAACCTTCTCGGACAAGGGTGAAAAATATCAGAGGTCCCATGTGCAAGTTGTGCACGTTAAAGATCCCTTGGTGGTCTAAAATCGATAAGAGTAGGCTTCGGCCGCCACCCGAGCAAAATTCAAAATTTCCTACCAACTGAAAAATGTTAAATGTGTCCCGCGTGCTCATATTATTACGACCTAATTCAGTTGAGAGCGCCGTAAAACACTTACCAAAAACTTAAAAATACATTTAATATACCTTGATTGCCTGTTCTGTGTTGTTTTTAAGTAACTGATGAGTGTGTGGGTTTAACACCCCTTTAAACACTGTAAGTATATAGATAGATAGATAGATAGAGAGATAGATAGATAGATAGATAGATAGATAGATAGATAGATAGATAGATAGATAGATAGATAGATAGATAGATAGATAGATAGATAGATGTAT